CGTCGCGGTGTCCCCGCGCCGGCGTCGCCTCTCCCTCCCTGTACGTACGCCCCACGCGCTTCTCTCCTCCCCGGCAGAGCGAGCCGAGCAGAGGCACCTGGCCCACCGGTATTTGCCGTCTTCTTGTCCAGGGCCACCTCAGGCTGTGCGTGGGGGCTATTTCCACCCCAGCTCTTCTGCAAGATGCACGGGGACCCGTCTCGGGAAACGTCACCTCCCAGAGCTCAGGCCTGGGCGTCACAGCGCCCCGAAGGACAGACCCACCGAGAAGAAGCCCAAGCCTTTGAGCTTCTCCTCCGTCCGGGCTTTCTGCTTCAAGTGGACTTTGCTGTGCCGCTTCTTTTCGTCACTCCTGGCGAACCGGCGGCCGCAGATGTCGCAGGAGAAGGGTTTCTCGCCGGTGTGCGTGCGGATGTGCGTGGTCAGGTGGTCGCTGCGGCTGAAGTTCCTCAGGCAGATGCGACACTGGAAAGGCTTGTGCCCTGTGTGGATCCGGAGGTGCCTATTGAGCTCGTCCGAGCGGGCGAAGCTCCGGATACAGTTCTCCACCGGGCAGGCGAAGGCCTTCTCGTGAGGCTTGGGGCAGAAGCATTTGGAAGAGCACTTGGTCCTGCGGGTCTTCCTCTTGGGCTCAGCAAGGGCCGAAGGGTTGGCAGGGAGCAGAGAGGCGATGGAGGAAGGGGTGGGATGGCCCAAAAAGTCCGTGGGTGGGACGGAGGGGGACGGGTGAGGATGAAGCAGCTCGTTTGAGCTAATCAAACCTGGCAAGACTTGCGGCTGAGCCAAGGAGGAGTCAAACTCTGGGATTAACTGGGGAGGGAGGCTGTGGATCTTGGTGTCACCAAAGTCACCGCGAGCCTGGAAATTTTCTGGCTCGCAGCTAAACGCCAAATTGCTGCCAAAGCAGCCGGGATCCTCAGCGAGGCTGTTGAGCTCCGACTGGCAGCTGACAGACAGCACATTTTCAATCTTGGAGCCCAGGGGATGAAACATAGCCTGGCTACTTTCTGCAGCAGGGAAGGCCTCAGGGGAATGGTAGCCAGTGGGTAGGTAGGACTGATGTTGGGCGACAGGCTCCCACTGTGAACAGGAGGCCTTAAATTTGTCCAGGGATGGGGAAACGGAGGGCAGCTTGATGTCCGGTTTATTGTCCAAGAGCTTGGTCTCGAAGAAGCACTGAGAGGCATTTCCTACGCCAGGTTGCGCCTGGAGGGGAGGCAGGCTCTCCGCGGCGGGGAAGCTGGTGTAACCCTGCTCCGGGAACGGGGCTTGGACAGACACGTTCATGTCGGGCTGGCAGTTGGAGTAAAGGTCCAGCTGGTTCTGAGTCACCTCGGGGCAGGAGTAAAGAGCATCCAAGTGTCTTTGGTGGCCCTCGGAGGCGGCGAAAGGAGAGATGCCCAGGATCCCCGACATCAGGTTGAAGAGGGACTCTTGGTCCTGGGGGTGCTCTGGCACCGTCTTGATGAAGAAGCTGCCGGTGTAGCTGAGCGAGGGGGAAGGCTGGCTGCCCAGGAGGAAGTAATCCGCCGCCTCGCCGCTCATCGGGGAGCCCATGAACTCACCTGGGGATGGAAAGGGCAGGAGGACTGAGAGAGGCACAGGGCATGGGAAGGATGCTGAGATACGGGGTGGGGGGAGCAGCGGGAGGCTGACGAGTTGTGTCACTGCACGGTCCCCATCCCAGCCAGGTGTCAGGGGACCCCCCTGGCTTTTGCCCCCGCCGCAGCACCCTCAAGGCTCCCAGCACACCCCATAACCCCCCGAACCC